TGAAAATTGTTCTATCAGCCATTATTCCAGTGCATGATAATAGAAAAGCAGAATAAAAGAAAAATACTATACTGACTTGAAATATAAAAATGATTACTTTAAAGGAAGATGATGTATCAAATAAAAATCTTCACTTGTCAAAGATATTTATGTATGTAAGAATGTAACTTGATAAAACCACCTTAAATTATTTTCATTTTTAAGGCGAACAACTCATTTGTTATACAAAAACCATTATTAAAATCACTTAATGTACACACCTAGGATTATGAAAGAGAATGCTAGTCTATACCTGTAAGGAGCTTACAGATAGATGCCAATATAAATGCTGCTGGGACACAGGGTAAGAGAACATTATGCAATTACATAAATGACATTAAAAATAAATTAGAACTCACAAGACAAAACATATTGGTTCTAAATCTTATAGCCTTAAACCATTTGCCTTTGAACACATATAAACTTTCCATAGAAATAATGGACTTTTTATAGTTCATTTGCTGCAAGGTCAGGCAGGCTGATGTGACAGATGGAACGTCATTTGCTAAATAAACCTTCGTACTCTATCATAAAACAAAGGCAGTTTTACTTAAACTGTCAATAATATATAATAAAGTAAAAAATGCTCAGAAAATTGCTACATGTGTGTTACTGGTATTCACTGGAAAATTTTCATTTAACCATGACAGGCAACCAAGACTCCATACATTTACATATAAATATCACATCATGGTAAATTCCCAAAATATAAAACAAAGTTTGTAAATGCAAAACAGTAAATAAATAACACTATCAAAGGTCTTCTGTGTGTGTGTGGGTGTGTGTGCGTGTACGTGGTGGGGAAGAGAGACTGCAAAGAGATGTTTTTCCATTAAAGGTTCTAACAACCTTGAGAAAGCCATCTAAAAACACTAACAGTCTACAGCACACATGCTATCAAAATCAAATGCAAAGGGGGTGTTTTCAGCATCCTGTCACTTTGAAAAATCCAATTTATTCTAATTTTTTAATTAGGTCACAAATTTAGGATCTCATCAAGAAATATATGATTATGCATATAATGGCTGAACCACTCAGAGAACTTACTTTTCTTACTTTTTAGCCATATATTCAAGTTTCAAGCGTAAGCGGAAAAAGTATTTACAATATTTGACAGCTTATAAGGTGTGTGCACTCATCAGTACAAAACCTGATACTTTTCACCCTATCTAAAAAAGCCATACATTTCTTCCTCCACAAAGTTACTTTCTCTACCCCTCTACCAGGCTTTTTTTTTACCCCCTCAATACCTTCAGTAATTCTCCTGACTACATAAAAGGAGAAAGACAGTTCCAATTAAGCACTCATCCTCTTTAATACTTTTGTAATGGATTATTGCCAAGCAAGCAGGCCAGCTAATCTATTCAAAAGAAGCCTTAGAGTCCAGGCTTAAGGAACCATAAGTAATTGGTAGGACAAGAGCGGAAGAAGTAAAGAGCAAAAGATAGCTGGAGTTGAGATGGGTGGACAGTCAGGGCTCACAAATAATGAAAACTAAATAAAAGCATCAGGCAAAAAATCTTACCATATCATGCTTAGAGTAGGTATGCTGGGAATGAAAGGTTTCCAAGAAATGTCGATGCTTAATTAAACAAGTATAAGCCTACTCTGAAAGGGTGAAGGAAAAAAAGTTCTAAGATCTACTTTTTTTTCTGCTGCTAAAACAGGATGGGCTATGTGACTTATTTCACCATGTAAGCCTGTCAGTCTTTAGGGAAGAGAGCACTTTGATGATATATATCCTCTTTCCTTCTCCCATCCAACAACTGCTAGCCTACTGGCTGACAATAAAATATTCAAATCTGCTCAAATGCAACACATTCCAAATTTTTCAGATGTGTTCCAAATGCAACATGCAGCCTGGTTTCTTCCACATCCAGAATATCTTACTCATAAGGTTTTCTTTATGTGCTTTTTAGTAGTCTGTGCAATCCTAACAAGGTTTTTTGGGTCAGGAGACACGGAAAATAATTTATTCACAAGTAAAACATAGTGATTTATTTTTTTCTTCACCTGTAAAATGAGAATACGATTAGTACCCACCTCAAATGGTTACTGTGAGGACTAAATAAAATTATTCTTGTAAAGTGATTAGGACTTTGTCTGACATGGAACTGTTCAATGGCTCTGAGATATTATCATCACAAGAAGACAATTTATATCCACAGAATAATCTGAGAAGAATTAACACTGAATGTTAACTACTACAATTTACATCTTCAGAACCTGGCACGCATCCAATAACTATGGTTTGAAACAATAGATTTCTCTTGAAGTGTGTTACACAACTGTTATTCAGCAGTTTCCAGACAGACACAAGTCCATTCTAATCCCCTGCCACCTTCTTCCCAAAGCCCAAGCCTGCCTCATTCCAAAACAGATTTATATTAAGATCATGCAGGCAAGTCGTGAATAAAAATGTAAATCTAAAAAGTACTTTATAGATGTAAGAAAATGTAACAATTTATTTCCAATCATTTTTCTTATGGAACGCTTTGATTGTACAGGGACAAATGCCACAAGCATCTATTTGACAGTTACATTATTCAATACCAACATTTTGCTTATGTTCTTTGGATTAAGCACTACTTACTTTTTTACCTTCCAATTTTACCCTTGTATGCTTATATAGCATAAAACTAAGATCATCAAAGGATAGTTTCCTTTAACACAAAATTTCCTGGACTCCATCTCAAAGAGGAAGTAGAAAACAATTCTATATTCGTTTTATAAAACTCTTTCTGTAGCATAAAACGACTGTAGCTAAAACTACTTTCTAAGACTTGGTGATAGCTAGAGCTGAGTCGGAATCGACACCATGGAAACAAGTTTGCACCGAGTGGAGTTCCACATGACCTAGGTCCAGACAAGCAGATGTGCTGAATGAAGATGTGGGAAGAGGAACTGACCAACATGATTTGGGGGGGGGCAGGGTGCATGGAACAGGATGGAAAGGTTTTGGTTCCTCTGGGGTTGTCAGTGGTGGCTACCACTGACTGAGTGGGCCAGAGGCAGTAGGTTTTAGAAGGCCTACAGTGGTGGAGGCAGCTTTTTACTACAGCCGAGGCAGATCTGTAGCAGGGCAGTTCTAAGGTGTGGTTCTGTAAGTTGTTTCTGAAAGTTGAAAACACAGTCTGTTCCTTCATGTCTTATCTTACTTTTAATAAACACCTTTCTGCTTAGACAAATTGTTGGGTTTTGTTGCCTGAAACTAAGAATCCTGATGAATAAACCAGAAAATAAAGACCATTTCAATGAAAGTCAATAATTCTGTCTATATAAAGTTAAAAAATACGCAAAACTAAAAAAAAACCCACTGCAGTAGAGTTGATTCTCACTCATAGCGACCCTACAGGACAGAGTAGAACTGGCCCATAGGGTTTCCAAGGAGCAGCTGGTGGATTCAAACTGCCGGCTGTTTGGTTAGCAGCCTGAGCTCTTAACCACTGTGCCCCAGGGCTCCACAACTAAAACAGACAAACACTACCTTTGAGATTTTTCACTAGAGTTTTACATCTGCTCTACTTTGATTTACGATTTATGTGAAGATCATAAGATTTTCAGAGTAAAATGAGAAGATATGAAATAATATTACTTAATACTGATGATATGACAAATAATTTCTAAGCATTCCCTTACAAACTGATCAATTTTCATTAATCAAGACGGTCTTTCTATCAATCCTCAAGGATTACTAATACTGAAATACAGAGTAATCTAGTAAACCTTCAGCCTGTAATTTCAACTGACCAAACAGTTTCAATTATGGAAAAGCAGAAGGAGAAATTCTCGGGGGAAATGGACACGGAGAATGAAATTTTGCTGTTCATTAATTAAATAAATGAGTAAACAGGTACCCCTAAATCACAATTGGAGCCCTGGTGGTGCAGTGGTTAAGAGCCTGGCTGCTACCCAAAAAGGTTAGCAGTTCAAATGCACCAGTCACTCCTTCGAAACCCTATGGGGCAGTTATACTCTGTTCTATAGGGTCACTATGAGTCAGAGTCAACTTGACTGCAATGAGTTTGATTTTGGTTTTAAAATTACAAATCTGGAATCTAGATATCTAGCTTTTAAAAATTATAAAATGAGCTTCACCTAAAAGAACTATTCCTCAAAACATCAAAACGCATTGTTAAACTCATGTGGACTTAAAAATAATTACTGGATCAAAATGAATCGAAATAATTTTAAAGAAGTGATCAAGTGTGCATGTTAATCTGAACAAAATTCTCGAGAGGTTGAAGAGTCAAAGTTAACATGACTTAAATCTGTGACTTAAATCTGTTTTACATACTGTTTCTGAAACAACATAATTTTCACAAAAATGTTAACTTTTGAAGATACGATGAGTATTTTAAAAATGGTATAATTAATTTTTAAAATAATATATTCAAATCACTACCATCTATGTAAATTCATATTTTCTTTAGTAAACGCCCATATTATGTTAACATTTTAAGTCTGCTAATAAATATGAAAATTGTTATCTTAATATACATTCAGAAATTCTTCAAGAAAGAAAAAAATTAGTATTTTTTAATAACCTAACATTTATGGGTACATTGTAGGTACGTTCGCATATATTATCTAGTTAATCGTATAATAATTCTTCACGATAAAAAGAGTTTCTGGGAGGGATAGGACACAAACTTTCGTCTTTGAAGATAAAATTGAGTACTTTCAATTAACTATATGATAGGTAACAATGGAGATTCTATAAAGAAAAATCATCATGTAAACATGATTTCCCAACACTTTTTCTGCTGAACTATACTAACTTTTCTGAGGTCTACTGACCTATTAGAACAGATTTCTTCAATGGCCAAGTAAAGGCAAAAATAGACTGTCAAAGGCAGTAGTCTTTTTCATTTATCACAAGCTTGGTAATTAATTCATTAGTAGCCTGCCAATCAACTGTATTGCTAGTGAAATTGTGAAAGCAGAATTAAATAGCTTACCGTGCACACAGATGTCTTTGTGATTTTCAAGGTAAAATCTGAAGAAAACTCCAAATCTGCGATAGATGTTGTATGGCAATCTATATGCTACCCATTAAAAAATGGAAGAGGTTAGTAAAAATAGTGGAAAAACCCAGATGAACATGACTTCTTTTTTATGCAAAAAGGATTACTGTAAACCAATGTTTTGCAAATTTTAATCATTCACACATGACTTTTGGGGCTGTTCCCAAATCTGAGGGATAGTGGCACTATTACTTAGTTAATATTTCTTTAAATCATTTTAGTATTTTTTACTTAGGCTTGCTGTAAGCAATAGCATATATATCAAATTATGACTTTAATATGCTAAAATTTTTCTCACACACACTGAAATAATATATAACTATTCAAATAAAAACATGTTTTTCTGTGTTCTACCTAAAATCATTTTGTACACCATTAACTATGTATCTGCCTTTTTGGAAAACATGCTATAAATTTTGTGTGGTAACAGTAAAGATTTTTAAAGGAAATGTCAACTTGAAAACATATGCTAATGAAGAGAACAAGTTATTTTCTTTCATAATTCATTTTTTGTAACTCCATTAGAAGATAAATTTGTTAGCTATTAGGAAAACCGAACAATTCTAAACAAAGAGCAAAGGCAACCACGAAGATTCCTTATTTTCCTATTCTGCCCTGGTTCAAATTCTTCTCCATTTTCTTTGCAGAGTGAACGGAATCTGAATTTCAATTACGTGATGTAAATGTTATCAGCGGACTTGCTATGACACAGTTACAACTCAGTAAACACAAATCACACACCAACATATGACTACACACCTGAAGAGCATTATTCTATTTAAAATAGTTTGAAAAAATTAAAACAAAACAGAGTTACAATGTGGTACTTTTTTATTTGTAGGAGGATTGGAGAACACAGAACAAACTAACTTTACTTAATCAGATAAATAAATAATTGATTAATGTTAAAAAAAAAAAAAAGAAAAGGTCAGTGTTATAGATTGAGTTGTGTCCCCCTAAAATATGTGTTGTAAATCATAAACCCCTATACCTGTGAATACAATCCCGTTTTGGGAAAAGGACTTCCTTTGTTATGTTAATGAGACCACAGCAGTGTAGGGTGTGTCTTAAGCCAATCACCTTTGAGATATAAAATATAGAGCCAATCAGGCACAGAAGAAGGTAGCAGAGATGGGGGAAGACACATGCCACATCATATGAAGATCACCTAGGAAAAGAAGCTGAAGAAACAAGGACTTTCCCCTAGAACCAGCAGAGAGAAAAAGCCTTCCCCTAGAGCTGATGCCCTGAACTTGGACTTCTAACTTCCTAAACTGTGAAAAATATATTTCTGTTTATTAAAGCCACCCACTTGTGGTATTTCTGTTATAGTAGCACTAAGAAACTAAGACAGTATGTATACTTTTTAAACACCTTCATTTTTCAGTCCTAAGTTTTCTATTTCAGCTATTTATTCACAGCAGTTTTTGGCATTAAGCAAAGAGATCACTACAGAGAGAAATTAATCCCTTTCCCTAGCTTCCTTCTCAGCCTGAAGGCTGAGTTGGCTATAATGAGCACTCCTGTTCCGAGCCAAAGAGCCTAAATAAATACCTAAACACTATCAGTGTACCAGAGCAATGAACAGTGCTAGAATTATCAAGCTGGCTGCATTTTTCTGCTTCTTAAAAGCTGAATGCAATTCAATCACCTGGCTTTTGTTGAGAAACTTTATGAGTTTATTACTCAATCTAATTTTTAATACTTTAGTCATTTAAGAAAATTAATAAACATTTACTGAATATCTACTTTGTGCAGAGAGTAATTATCGATGCTGTGAAAGTAATACTGTAACTAAAAAGAGGAGACACTGTATTCTGAACCTAATGCTGAACAAACTATTTGATTGTCTAGTTGAAACAGATAAAGGGTTTTAAGAAAAGTAACATGACTGAACCCACATAAATTCAATGTCATCTGACGTTACAAACTTATTACTCAACCCATGGATTTCTGATGTTACAAATTTATTACTCAACCCATGTAATTTCAATGTCGCAAAATTCACAGTAAAACTAGAGGTTAACACAGTAAAGAGTAAGATAATAAAACACAAAACGAATTAACTGAGAAATCTGAACACAGTAGGGCTTTACTTCCATGGGCAAATTCACTGTAATTACTTAAATCTGAAAAGTCTGGAAGCAATCTGAATGAGAGAAGTTAAATTGTGTGGAACAGATGATATGAATGAATAATATGGCTGTTAATGAAAGGCCAGAATAAAGCCAGGAGGTGGTGATGAAGCAGAAATGACAATATAGCAGCCTTAACTAAACCAAAGTAGATGACTCAAGCTGTTTAGAGTTAGATTTAAAAGATTATAAAAGTGAGTACAAGGAATTTCAATTTCAAAAAAGCAAAGTTGGTAAAACACTTACCTTAATACAACAAGGGTCTGAAGTAAGAGTCTTTGGATCTACAAGCTCCACAACAGCTTCTGGAATAACTGCTTTCTTCATGCAAGACATGTTGAAGCCATAGACATCATCCCAAAAGGCAATTCTATCAGCATGTTTATTCACATCACTCACTGCCACAAGACTTATGGTGCAAATGTCAGGATAGACTGTAACAAATAAAATGCCCACAATTCAGCATTATCTCCTTTTATGACAGAAAAGGATTCTTTTAAGGCTAAGTATAAATACCAAATCCATTAGTATGGATAATTAGCAATGGAAGAGAAAAATATCCCCAAATCAATGAAGGTGTAAATCAGGGGGTGAACTGATAGGACTTTGAGATTAACTGGCTGTGGAGGTGAGTAAGAGGGAAGAGTCGTGGATGAGTTATTTGCTTTAGCAACTGGGCAGACTGTGGTACTAATTACAATAGGGAATAAATAAAGACAGATTCAAGAGGAATATGAGAGTGTAATGCTTATGTGACAAACAGGTAAAAATATCCAATAGGCAGCTGAATATACAGGTCTGAAATTCAGAAGAGATACCTGGGTTGAAGATACAAATTTGGAGACCGTGAGCATATAAATGGAAATTTAAATAAATGGAGCTCACAAGATTACCTAGGAGAGTATATGATGAGCACCAGAATTTAAGGAACGTGCAGAAGAAAACAGATCAAGAAAAATGACTGAGAAGCTAGGGTAAAAAGAAAACCAAGGAAGTGTTATTAAAGTCAAGAGAAGAAAGTGATTCAGGAAGAAACTCTCTACTGATAACAAGGTTTTCCTAACAAAAAATTTTAAATAACCTTTTTTCTTTAACAAATAACAAAATTAACTTTGTCCTTCAAATATCAACTTTTAAGGAGTTCATGAATTAAAATTTACATCACATTTTCCCTTATCAACAAACTGAAAGCAAGCATAAATGCATGGAAGATACTTTTACATAGTGAGGACAGAATTACCACAAAGGAAATAATCCCATGATTACCAACTAGCCTTCAGACTTAAACAGTAAGGAAATTACCCTCTCCTTCTCCCAAACTTTGTTTGTATCCACAGCCTTCAAATTTTTACTATTCAATGACAGCAGCAAGGCTGAAGTTCCACTAAATAATCCTCCAAATAAAGCCCATTATAAGATCTTCCAAACCTGACTTGTGAGATATTCAGAAAAAATATCCACGTCACTGGTAAGTTTATCAAGTCTTCCCTAAAGAGGCATGAGGAAGGTGTGCTGGCACACAGTCCACTACTACGCAAACTGAGCTACTTCTACTCTCTCCCTCCTCCACCAACAGCTTAAGCCTCTTGACTTGTGTTTAAATTCCTGATAGATACAAATTCTCCCAAGTAATTGATTTGTTACTGAAAATGCTGGTCCAGTAAGAGTATAAGCTACAGGAAAGCCTGTTTACTTTCTTGGAGTAAGATGAGAAACAGTGAAGAAGAAATAGACAATTCTGCAGCAACTTTAGATATCTGACTAATTTCTTGATAAATTATTTGATTGAATTTAATTTGACAATCATAGAAGCTTTACCACATTATGCTCTATAATTTCATCCTTAAAGAGGAATATGATAAGGGTGTAGATCAGAGGCCAGCAAATATCTTAGGCTTTGCAAGCCATATGGTCTGTGTCAAAACTACTCAACTCTGCTGCTGCAGTGTGAAAGCAATCATAGATGATATGTAAGCAAATGAGTGTAGCTGTGTTCCAATAAAACTTTATCTATGAAAATAGGTGGTGGGCCAGATACACATAACCCTGATAATAGATGAGGAAGAAATTAAATCATCATTAGGGTCATCACACTGTACCCCTTCAGGTAGTGCCATTCACACTGTGGTGGTTGTTGTGTGCCGCCGAGCTGGTTCCGACTCATAGCGACCCCATGTGACAGAGTAGAACTGCTCCGTAGGGTTTTCTAGGCTGTAATTTTTATTACAAGTCATTCACACTGTAATCTATGGAAACGGAATATCCTCTGCTGTTGTGCAGTGCACAGACATTCACGTTATTTAACACAGTTCATAAAATTATTCAATTTTTTAATATTATTAAAAATTTTAGTGGAATTTTAAAATGTCATTAGTCTCTAAATCAGGCATTGGCAAATTATGGTCTATGGTTCAAACCCAGCCTGCTGGATTTTATTTATTTTTGTAAATAAAGTTTAATTAGAACACTGCGCACTCATTTGTTTACATATTGTCTATGGCTGCTTTGTGCTACAATAGCAGAAATGAGTAGTTGGGACAGAGACCTTACGGCCCACAAAGCTGAAAATACTTACTATCCGGCCTTTTACAGAAAAGTCTGCTGACCTCTGCTCTACATCAAGCAACGTGATACATTAGTAACACCACTAAGAAATAAGGATAACTTTTTCATAAGAAAAAACAACAATTTACTGAAACTAAAAAAAAAAAATAAAGGCTTTAAAAATATGTTGGTAATAAGAAGAAACAAACTAAAGTGGAATATGATTTACTTTTTCTAGTGTTGAGGTAATTTTTCAAGTTGTGATATTTTGCATAGGTATAGAAACGATGGTTTTTGTATTTGTTAGAATTTAGAAACGAAATTATTTTTCATCTGTAAATTAGTAAGATCTATAAATATCATAAAGATTTGTAATCAGTGTCATAGGTCAATTTTGTTCTATTTCCACATTCTCACAGCTGGCTAGAATTTTGGGCCACCTGCCAGCACCCTGACTAACCCTTTACACCTTTACATTCCGACACATTTGTCATTTAATTTTTGTCTGATAGGGGCTATAACTGAATAATTATTCCTTCCTGTAGGTGAAATTAACGAAGTTCTGATTGGACAAAAGCACCCTCTTAACAGACCATTTATAAATTCATAGCTTTGACATCTGTGTCCTTCTCGATTCACCGCCTAGTCTTCATTTGTCACTAGAACAGCTCACATGGTGAAGAGATAGGGATGGGAAATCCTTTATTCTTTAAAAATGTCTCAAACTGGATGCTAAAAGATAAGATTGAGATGCACACAGAAACAATTCCTAGTAAACACTAACATCACTACTGGTATATACATAACCAAAGAGTAAAAAGGTTTTGGAACTAAAGGAGATAAGATAAATAAGTCAAAATAAACTGTTCTTTTCATGATATATGGTCTTATCTTACAAGCATTTAAAAAAAAAAAAGTTCACCAATCACATTCCTATGCACAAAGGGAAATGTACTACAAAGTCACAAAGACAGCAGATAGCTTGGAAGTTGAATAAGCTTAAAAAAGTAATGTATAACTTATATAATAAGGTTGTCTTAAAAAATTAAGTATATACTTATTTGGAAATTGGACACATTTCCCCATTGTTAACTTAGAAACAGTAGGCTGAACTATGCACTGAAACATAACACGCTGAAAAAAAGTAGAAAATGATACTACCGCAATATCACTGAACAAACCCAAAATAATAAACGTGGAAAAGCAGATTTGATTAGAAGATAAGGGAGGAAACAATGAATTTCAGAAATAGAAAGGACACCTCTGAGACCGGCAGTCTGCCCGCCATCTTGGGTTGTGCCTGCCATCTCTGTGATATAGGAACTAACTCCGTCTTTAAGCTATCTCCTTGTTTAGGTATGCTTCCTGTTTCTGGCCAAGTTGAGGAACACAAGTAATTGGGATCCCAGACCAGCTGAAACTGGCAAGAACTAGATCTGACCCGCCTGACATGCGCAAAACAATCTACCCCGTCCTCTGGGTGACCCCTGAACTCCTTCCACCAGACGGAACCAAACGTTAGTGGGCCAAGGTTGAGGGAAAGCTTTCAGAAGCGAGGGGTCCAAGCCTAAGATCCGGTTTGAAAGACCCCCACTCTTCTAGACTGAGCAAGCACAGAAAGGTTGGACTACTCCAGGAACGTGTTTTCAAGCCAGACCAATCAGCAAGCTGGCCCCACCTTGAGGTGTTCCTGAAGACCCCAGACCCAATTTACTTCACCCATATAAACCCTCTGGGCGATTGTTCTGGGAGCCATCTTGGCGACACAAGTCCTGGTGTGCTCCTTTGCTTGGCCAACAAAATAAAACTGCTTCTTTTGCTTTCACTTGTTTTGTGTCTCCACGGCTGTGCGGAGCAGACATGGAACAGTCCAGTTAACACCTCTAAGCACTATAAGCCAGTATCAGTGGCTGATTATATTGGGGTAGTCTATAAAAAGGTGTAGAAAAGGTGAAGTGCTATGCAAAAGTCAGGTGTTAATACCATGATGCTTAAATTCATTCCAAAAACTTTAAAGGTATAAACCTAACACTAATTTCAAGTTTACTGGTATGACTCAAAAGGGTAAATAACATTTACTGAATGACTATGTCAAACATTTCATTCAGACTTCTGAATGATTCTATAAAACTGGATTATAATCCTCATTTTACAGATGAGGAAACTGAAGCTCAGAGAGATAAAGTAACTTGCCCAAATTACTGGTCTTCATCAGCTAACTAGATAACTAGCCAGCTGGCGAAGCAGGGATTCAACTTAAAATCTAAGTGCAAAACCCACATGCTTTCCATTAAGCCATGATGCCACATTTTATGCTTTTTAACACACCACCTTCCTAAGGTAAATGGGCACTTGCTGAAAGAGAAAGAGGACGGAGAAAAGGGGTTGAGATAGATTGGAGATTAATAAAATTTCAGGGCAAAGTGAGGAAGATGAAGAAGTCTAGCATTACTAATATCCTCTGAGTGGAGTAATGAAATGATGAGGCAAAACAAAACACTGAAAGGAAAGCAAAGCAGCAGAAGTGAGGAAGGAGTGGGGAAGATGCATGGCTCAGCTTTCCAACAGAGAAGGAAGTAGCAAAGAAAGGACATTTGCAAATTTGGTATTTATATAATACAAGAGAGTGGCAGAATGGATAAAACAAACAAACGTGACACAAATATATGCTGTCTACAAGAGACACACCTTAGACCCAAGGACACAAACAGGTTGAAAGTGAAAGGATATGGAAAACAACAGTCCATGTAAACAGTAACCAAAAGAAAGCTGGGGAAGTATCTTAGTCATCTAGTGCTGCTATAACAGAAATACAAGTGGATGGCTTTAACAAAGAGGAATTTATTTTCTCACAGTCTAGTAGGCTAGAAGTCCAAATTCAGGGCATCAACTCCAGGGGAAGGCTTTCTCTCTGTTGGCTCCGGAGGAAGGTCCTTGTCATCCATCTTCACCTGGTCTAGGAGCTTCTCGGCACAGGAACCCCAGGTCCAAAGGACACGCTCTACTCTCAGCACTGCTTTCTTGGTGGTATGAGGTCTCCAACTCTTTGCCTGCTTCATCTCTTGTAAGGTAAAAGGTGGTGCAGGCCACACCCCAGGGAAACTCCGTTTACACTGGATGAGGCATGTGACCTGAGCAAGGGTGTTACATTTCACCCTAATCCTCTTTAACAACAGGCAGAGGTTATGATTTATAACACACAGGAAAATCACAAAATGGAGGACAACCACACAATACTGGGAATCATGGCTGTCATGATTTGAATTATGTGCCCTCAAAAATGTGTGTCAATTTGGCTGGGGTATGATTGTTAATTTTGTGATTGTAATTTTATGTTAAAGAGGATTAGGGTGGGATTGTAACACCCTTACTAAGGTCACATCCCTGATGATCTTCAGCAAAATTTTACTCGTATGTGACATTAATGATATTGTTCAATAATTTCCACATTTGACTGGATCACCTTTCTTTGGAATAGACATAAATATGGATCTCTTCCAGCTGGTTGGCCAGGTAGCTGTCTTCCAAATTTCTTGGCACAGACAAGTGAGCACTTCCAGGGCTGCATCCATTTGTTGAAACATCTCAACTGGTATTCTGTCAATTCCTGGAGCCTTGTTTTTCACCAGTGCCTTCAATGCAGCTTGGACTTCTTCCTTCAGTAACATTGGTTCCTGATCATATGCTGAAGTGGCTGAACATCGACCAATTCTTTTTGGTATAGCGACTCTGTGTATTCCTTCCATCTTCTTTTGATGCTTCCTGCATCATTTAATATTTTCCCCGCAGACTCCTTCTGCATTGCAACTTGAGGCTTGAATTGTTTCTTCAGTTCTTTCAGCCTGAGAAATGTCAAGCGTGTTCTTCCTTTTTGGTTTTCTAATTCCAGGTCTTTGCACATGTCATTATAACATGCACACACATAAATACACAGCTGTGTAATGACAACCACAATCAAGATACAAAAGGGACTTAACACCACAAACCTCACTACCCAATTGTAATCAAAAGTATCATTTTAATGATTATGTTTGTAGTGCTAAATGTGCTTACCATTCTATTACTTGATTTGTCAGCTTTAAAGGATATTTTCCACATTCTTGTCATTAAAGATAAAGCAATAGAAATAAAAAAAACTTCCTCCCACCTGCCTTCACCCTTCCCTTCCAATTTTTGTGAGACGTATCATTTGAAATTGTTAGGGTATCAAACATTTACACTCTATGTTATCACTCTAAAACACACTGTGTTTTAGTCTTAATTAACTTATACTTGTAAAATTACCCATGGCTTATGACCAAACATTTTCCTAGTTTTTCTCTTCATTTCTTGATTGGTTGAATACAAAACAGAACAATTCCTGACACACAATTAGTGTTTAATAAATCTTAGCTAAAAGTAATAGTAGTATTTAAGAAACCCACTTTCATTAACTTTAAAAAATTATTTTTGTTAGTAGGAATAGTAGTAAATGGGTACTTCTAAAGTACTGTGGAATGGCTTGGTAATAACAGGGACAATGAATACCCAAGTTATTGGCTGACTGTGTTTATAAAGCCTATACTCTATGCCATTATATAGCAAGACATCGACTGGATCTAAATTCAAAGAAAAATGAATCGTGGCTTTATCATGCTTACATGGGACTTCAATATTCTCTTTCTCGCAAAACACAATTGTTCTTTCTGATATCTTTACAGTACTAATTGTTTAATAAATCTTTCCTTTAGAAAAACACAAAGGAAAACTCTGCAATAAGAAAGTGAACATCTAGATGATTGGTGATATTCATCAAGGAATACTTAAATATACGAATAGGCTGTATCACTTCATGTTACTCTTTTCCCTCTTCATTCTAAGGCAACAAATAACATTCACCAGCATGCTTGTATAACTCCAAATTATCTTAACACTAATGTTGTTAGCTGCCAACAAGTCCAACGCATGGCAACTCCATGTACAACACAACCAAACTGCCTGGTCCTGCACCAACTCTCTGGTCCTGCACCATCTTCAAATCATTAGTACGCTCAAGTCCACTGCAGCCACTGTGCATTTTGAGTGCCCTCTAACCTACGGGGCTCATCTTCCAGCACTATATTGGACAATATTCTGTTATGGTCCATAGGGTTTTCATTATCTAATTTAGGAATTAGATTGCCAAGCTTTTTTCCCTAGTCTGTTTTAGTTTGGAAGCTCCATGGAAACCTGTCCACCATGGGTGATCCTGCTGGTATTTGAAATATTGTTAGCATCGCTTCCAGCATCATAGCAACACGCAAGCTATCACAATATGACAAACTGACAGACGAGTGAAGGAACACTAATATTAGCTATATAAAAGTAGGAAAAGAGCTAAAATTATTAGCCTCCACTCTATCCCTCTGATGATAGAAAACAACTCTGCCATTGTTTCATTAACTATAACTTCATTATTTGCATTGCTTTTGGTTCTTAATGAATTTCACCAAGAATTTGATGATTTCATTATATTAAATTGTTGTCAGTCCTTCAGTAAGATCAATGAATACCATTCACGGAAGTATGGAAACAGCTTTCTAAATCTCCCCTGTAACAACTTTAAGGCAAGAATCAGGTTCAATAAAATGCAGTTTAGTAGGAAAACAGCAAGATATAGTGAAAAGAACATAAATTTTGGAGTCAGGCAGATGTGAGTTTAAAAAAATTAAGGTTTGGCCACTTAGTGTGTGTCACCATAAAACAGCTATGAGATTGTTTCTAAAATCTCACAGGACGGTTGTGAGGATTACATGTAATAACACAAAGGTAGAATATTTTATTTGGCAGATAGCAGACAATCAACAAATGGGAAATGCTACTAATTTTTTATTCATTAAATACAGCAGTCATTAAAAAAAAAAAAAAAGCCACTGCAATTATACAAAGATATAGCCAACTGTTGCTTAGTAAAACATACAGAAAAATTCTAGCGAGGTTCGTGTTAGAGATCAGGAAGATACTTGACATAGTTGCAGAAAATACAGTGATAAAATGAAGCACACTTTAAAAAAGAAAGGCAATACATCTAAATGCTGTTATAAAAAGAAGTCTGCTGTCTGGAGAATTTTCTCTGCCCTTCATGTTATGGCCTTACTGATTTTTAGCTGTACTATAACTGCCAAAGTAATTTCACAGAACATGGATGGGCAAGAAGTAAAAATACGGTCAAATGCTTTATGTCACTAGTTCAAAGGCCTTCTCTTTTCATTCACTTTTATGTAACAGTTTCATTAACTGTACTCTGAGCATGGAACCCATTTGTTGACTCTGAAGCCTTGAGAAAAGGAAGGTACAGGGAAAGATTAGTAACGGGGGACAGACGTTCTTCAATGCAGTTTTAATACTTCAATAAACATTATGATTGCTCCGTGTTCCAGGAGCTGTGGAGCATGTTGAAGAGTCAAAGATGAACAAAACATAATCCCTACCCTGAAGGGGAACGTTTTATTTGTTTACAACTGTTCACAGCAGAAGGCCTGTAAAAACACAACCTTACTCTGACTATACAGAGCAAATATGATTCAAAGTTTTCCAGGGACAGGAAAAAAAGGCCTTCCCAAATTTATTAGGATCCATTTATAAACACTGGTCGGGTGTGTTGTGCTTTAAAAAGTTATTAGAAACCAGTTATCACTTTAAATGTTTTCATTAAATCACAGAGAAGCCAGGTTTATGTATTTAATGAAGTCATGGAAAATTTACCATTAAAGTAAATAATCTCCATCTTAGTATGAAATATGCTACTGGGAAAAAAAGAACTAAAGGTCATAAGGATTAAAAATGAAAAAGAGTTTGTTAGCTTTTGACTCGAAATCAAAAAGCTTTCAAAGCCTAGTCCTTAGTATTTTATAAAAGGTGTTCTTGAGAATACCATTAACTTGGAGCCCTGCATATCTTACATAATGTTCTAGCAACAAGATAGTAAATGAAAGTCTTAAAGCTTCTTCTAATGGAAGAAGCTTTCATCTCTACTGGGAACTTTCTCAGCCACGCAGTTTACTTGAAATCCAAAGGTTCATTTGGTTCTGCCAGACTGAAATTAGACTATTAAAGCTAGAATTTTATACTCACCCGATCCTCCTTTTGCCAGGTATTTGTGTTTTGCATAAAGGACAGAATCTAACATAGACTCAAAAAGAAGAAAATAGCCCTGCATAAAAAGAGAAAGAATTGTTTTTAGAAATAAGCAATATACTTAAAAGCAGATCAATTTGGATTTTTGAGCTATTCTTTTAATATAAAATATATTATATTTCTGTCTCTGCCATAAAATATTCTGTAAAGTCTGAAATTATTTTTTGCTATCAGTTCTCTACATAATAATTACTGGAAAATCAGCCCAGGGTATAAAGTGAGCCCAGAGAGTTTACTACTGTAGAATGTACTGAACCTTCTCTACATGTGTTCCCACTTTTCAGACTACTATCTCCTCTTCATTAAAAGTTTAAAATGGAAATTATTAGTTTACTTTATATAACTCGCACGAATACTGTGATACTAAGGAGCACCTGTTCTCAACTGGGGGAGATTTGGCCCCCTGGGGGACATCTGGCAATATCTGGTGGCACTTCTGATTGTCACAACTGGGGAGAGGGGTGCTACTGGCATCTGGTGGGTAGAGGCTAGGGATGCTGCTAAACATCCCATAATGCACCAAGATAGTCCCCTACAGTAAAGAATTATCTGGCCCCAAATGTCAATAGTGCTGGGGTTGAGAGACCTTGGTCTACAGCACATTTCCCAAAGTGTTTGCTGCCCAGTGACTTTCTTCTTGGTAAAGAAAGAAAAGGAAAAAAAAGTTCCTTAGTCAAAGAGGTTTGAGATGCGTCACGTTAGAGTGTGCTCTAAGATTCATAACGCACATTGGTACATTAAAAGTTCTGAGAGTGTTATAGTAAAGAGAACGGTTGAACGTTATTTTAACCAAGTTACTCATTTTTTGACTACAGAACTCTTTTTTAATATTTAACATCTATCAACACCTTGAAGAACTAATGTTGCTTGAAATACAGCTTGCGAAGCACTGCCCTAATATACTCCAGATTACAGACTACAGTAATGAATCCTCTACCAAGAAAGGATAATCAGCACAAATGAAAAGAGAATTTGCTGCTATCGGTGTCAAATACAGTTCATTCTAATACTACGCCACAAAGTTTATTACAGAAATGACTGTGTAATCATGACTGTGAGATTAACGCCAGTCTCCGACAGTCCTTCCCCTTATAGGCCACCTTTCCCTTCAACCTCCCCTAAGCAGCAGGAAAAGAAGTGCTCAGCATAGTGTTTAGCACATACAGCATCTTAGAGTGAACCAATGTGAATCTGTCCTAATGTTAGCATTCTGACACAAATTTATTCTCACCCACTCATTTGTTTTGTGCATAAATAACTTTCAATGGGATAAATATAATATCCTTTAACCACATGAACAAAAATTCTCAACAGTTTCTCCAGAACAACAATAAAAAATCCCTGCAAACCCAGAATGGATAATCTTCGTAAGAGATTAACATCAAATTTAAATTTATAGAAAATACAGCTCTCATGCTTGAATCATTTAAAGGAACCTAATTGCTGCTAGCAACTCTACACTGAGTTTACCTACCTCCCCCCAACTAACACACTAATTCACTGATAAGAAAATAATTGCCTACCGAAGAAAGACTTAGCAACAAAGCTCTTTTATTACTGTGTTTACATTAGGAAAATTAAGGATTTGGTGGAAAACGCATTTTTTTTGGGCAGGGGATGGTACACTACTTCAGTAATACATCAAACTCTCACAAGTCAGTTCCTTATCAATATCAGCTGTGATTTCAAAGAACAAGAGACTTTTGGAATTCAAATAAGTAGTCTTTACCAATCTTACATAACTCATGCAGATGTACATGCATAAAATGCTTACAAATAGGCATTTGTCTGTTGATTAAAGTGAATTATAATCTATGCCAAGGAATTATTAAAAGATGGGACATCTACTTGCCTTCTGGGAAAATGATCAGCTATAGAACATCTTATTAGGAAAAAAATAGTCCCTATTTGCAAGGTTATTGCATGTTAAAGCAACATCAACAGTCTGATTAAAATAAGAGATTCACACTATAGTACAAATTAAGTATTCACTATACTTCAATCTTTTTTGGAAGAGGGGAAAAATCACTTCTTAATGATTTGGTACTGCATTAAACTTTTTTAGTATTACTCTTTCAAAGTATGGAGCTAAATCTAAGTATTTTGCTTTTGTATGATCAAATTCCATCTTACTTCCAAATACTACAAACAAACAAAATTATTTTGGATCAATAATTAAAAGTAGCTCCTTTTAGCAGTAGGCTCATTTACTGCATTTAGGACAAAGTTATTATTAACAATTCATCAGAGATTAAATTATGTCATATTTTAAATTGGTACTATGGTCAATATCAATAGTACAGTGGTTAAGAGGGTAGACTCCTGGATTTGAAACTCAGCTGAGCCCCTTTCTCTATGTGACCTCGGGAAATTCACATAATTGTGCCTCAGCTTCCTCATCTGTAAAGTGGCAAACAACTATTAAACAAAGTCAGTTGCCTTTGATTTGACTTTGACTCATGGGGACCCCTCGTGTGTCAGGGTAGAACTGTGCTCCATAGAGTATCGATGGCTGATTTTTCCAAAGACTGCCAGGACTTTCTTCCAAAGCACATCCAACCTTTTGGTTAGTAGCTTGTTAACCATTTGCATCACCCAGGGACTCTAGGTAATATCCACAATATACTTAACAGCTGTTGTGAGCATTAAATATGTTAACATGTGCAAAAGGTTTTGGAACAATAAATATTAGCTTACCTGAAAAAATTAAGAGCTAGTAAAACATATGGTTATGAAAGGCTATTTTTATTATAAAATCAGGTTTAAGAAATTAGAAGACAAAGGTTTACCAGACTGTCTAGAATCACATAATGTTTATTTAGTGAATGTTACTATATTACAATCCAAGATTCAGAACTGCAATTCTTGTTTTTGGGGAGGCATCTACCAGAATACATTTTCTTGTGTCATTTATTTTTTCACACCAGCTGAGACTATGGGCATACACACACAAAAAAACCACTCAAAATTTCTCTATAACTAAGAAATCACATTTTAGAAAACCAATCAAAATAATTGGATCATATTGTCCAAATTAGTGCCAGTTCCAACTCTTAAGATTCTTCATGCAAAGAAAATCACATGAATTTTTTTTCTTGGTCAAAAAACTCAATCTTACTTAATACACTGATTTTTGGTATCTATACTTAAGACATTCCCATATGTGTCTTTCCATCTGAAATAATAAACACCAATAAGCATTTTGCCACAGATACAGTTAGCTAAGATTAGAACCCTAATTAGACACTATTAGAGACAGTTTCTAAGGTTCTACTTAAACAATCTAATTTTTACATAAATCAGTCCTAGAGAAGTTAAGTGTCTTATTTTAGGTCATACAGCTGGATAAACAATATTGGGAAATTTTCAGCTCCCCTTACAAAACAAGGACCTTAAGATTCAACTGGTAAACTCAGCAGTGAGAGAGAGTACGAATGAATAAGAGGGAGAAGATAATCTTCCCTGGCATAGAAAATACTCTTCCGAGTCTGAAAGCATTCCCCTTGAGAATGGGAACCAGACAAGGATGCCATTTATCACCACTCTTATTCAACGTTGTGCTGGAGGTCCTAGCCAGAGCAATTAGGCTAGGAAAAGAAATAAAGGACATCCAAATTGTAAGGAAGAAGTAAAAGCATCTCTATTTGCAGATGATATGATCTTATACACAGAAAACCCCAAAGAATCCGCAAGAAAATTACTGGAACTAATAGATTTCAGCAAGGTATCAAGATACAAGACAAAGATACAAAAATCATGTTGGATTTCTCTACATCAACAAAGAGAACTTCCAAGAGGAAATCACCAAATCAACAACATTTACAATAGCCCCCAAGAAGATAAAATACTTAGGAATAAATCTAACCAGAGACGTAAAAGACCTATACAATGAAAACTACAAGACACTACTGCAAGAAACCAAAAGAAACTGCATAAGTGGAAAAACATACCTTGCTCATAGACAGGAAGACTCAACATGGTGAAAATGCCAATTCGACCCAAAGTGATCTACAGATACAATGCAATCCTGATCCAAATTCCAACAGCATTTTTTAATGAGATGGAGAAACAAATCACCACCTTCATACAGAAAAGGAAGAGGCCCCGGATAAGTAAAGCATTACTGAAGGACAACAATAAAATGGAAGGCCTCAGACTACCTGATTTTAGAACCTATTATACCGCCACAGTGGTCAAAACAGCCTGGGACTGGTACAACAACAGATAATAGACCAATGGAACAGAATTGAGAACCCAGACATAAATTCATCCACCTATGAGCAGCTGATATTTGACAGAGGCCCAAAGTCCGTCAATCGGGGAAAAGACAGTCTCTTTAACAAATGGTGCTGGCATAACTGGATATCTATCTTAAAAAAAATGAAACAAGACCCATACCTCACACCATGCAAATAAACTAACTCAAAATGGGTAAAAGACCTAAATATAAAATCAAAAATGATAAGGATCATGGAAGAAAAAAAAGGGACAATGAATGCTAGGAGTCTTAATACATGGCATAAACAGAACACAAACCATAAGTAACAATGTGCAAACACCAGAAGAGAAACTAGGTAACTGTGAGCTCCTAAAAATCAAACACTTATGCTCATCAAAAGACTTCACCAAAAGAATAAAAAGACAACCTACAGACTGGGAAAAAAATTTTGGCTACAACATATCCGATCAGCGTCTAATCTCTAAAATCTAAAGATACGGCAAAACCTCAACAAGAAGACAAATAACTCAATTAAAAAATGGGCAGAGGATACGAACAGGCACTTCACCAAAGAAGACATTGAGGCGGCTAACAGACACATGAGGAAATGCTCATGATCATTAGCCATTAGAGAAACGGAGATCAAAACTACAATGAGATACCATCTCACCCCAACAAGGCTAGCATTAATCAAAAAAACACAAAATAATAAATGTTGGAGAGATTGTAGAGAGACTGGAACACTTATACACTGTTGGTTGGAATGTAAAATGGTACAACCACTTTGGAAATTGATT